GGTTCGGGGGACTATATGTGGAGAAATTCGGCATGAATTGATACCGACACCTCAGAATTTGGTAACCTCAACTCCATTAACAACTACCTATGAATCCTTTTTCGGTTTACCCCCATTATCTCAAGTTTTGGATCGAACTAATCCATTGCTATTTGGGCCCTGGAGGACTGACAAGGCGCACTGCTAGTTTTTGGATACGAGATATCCATCCTAGTCTCTATGGACGTATTTTCCTAATTGACATATCTGAAGGAATCAATGTTGGACTTATTGGATCCTTAGCAATTCATGCGAGGATTGGTCATTGGGGATCTCTAGAAAGCCCTTTTTATGAAATTTCTGAGAGGTCAACCGGGGTACGGATGCTTTATTTATCTCCAGGTAGAGATGAATACAATATGGTAGCGGCAGGAAATTCTTTAGCCTTAAATCGGGATATTCAGGAAGAACAGGTTGTTCCAGCTCGACACCGTCAAGAATTCTTGACTATTGCATGGGAACAAGTCCATCTTCGAAGTATTTTTCCTTTTCAATATTTTTCTATTGGAGCTTCCCTCATTCCTTTTATCGAACATAATGATGCAAATCGAGCTTTAATGAGTTTTAATATGCAACGTCAAGCAGTTCCTCTTTCTCGCTCCGAGAAATGCATTGTTGGAACTGGGTTGGAACGACAAGCAGCTCTAGATTCGGGGGCTCTTGCTATAGCCGAACGCGAGGGAAGGGTCGTTTATACCAATACTGACAAGATTCTTTTAGCAGGTAATGGAGATATTCTAAGCATTCCATTAGTTATATATCAACGTTCCAATAAAAATACTTGTATGCATCAAAAACTCCAGGTTCCTCGGGGTAAATGCATTAAAAAGGGACAAATTTTAGCGGATGGTGCTGCTACGGTTGGTGGCGAACTTGCTTTGGGGAAAAACGTATTAGTAGCTTATATGCCGTGGGAGGGTTACAATTCTGAAGATGCAGTACTTATTAGCGAGCGTTTGGTATATGAAGATATTTATACTTCTTTTCACATACGGAAATATGAAATTCAGACTCATGTGACAAGCCAAGGCCCTGAAAAAGTAACTAATGAAATACCGCATTTAGAAGCCCATTTACTCCGCAATTTAGATAAAAATGGAATTGTGATGCTGGGATCTTGGGTAGAGACGGGTGATATTTTAGTAGGTAAATTAACACCCCAGGTCGTGAAAGAATCGTCGTATGCCCCGGAAGATAGATTGTTACGAGCTATACTTGGTATTCAGGTATCTACTTCAAAAGAAACTTGTCTAAAACTACCTATAGGTGGCAGGGGTCGGGTTATTGATGTGAGGTGGATCCAGAAAAGGGGTGGTTCTAGTTATAATCCCGAAACGATTCGTGTATATATTTTACAGAAACGTGAAATCAAAGTAGGCGATAAAGTAGCTGGAAGACACGGAAATAAAGGTATCATTTCCAAAATTTTGCCTAGACAAGATATGCCTTATTTACAAGATGGAAGATCCGTTGATATGGTCTTTAACCCATTAGGAGTACCTTCACGAATGAATGTAGGACAGATATTTGAATGTTCACTCGGGTTAGCAGGGAGTCTGCTAGACAGACATTATCGAATAGCACCTTTTGATGAGAGATACGAACAAGAAGCTTCGAGAAAATTTGTGTTTTCTGAATTATATGAAGCCAGTAAGCAAACAGCGAATCCATGGGTATTTGAACCCGAATATCCAGGAAAAAGCAGAATATTTGATGGAAGGACGGGGAATCCTTTTGAACAACCCGTTATAATAGGAAAGCCTTATATCTTGAAATTAATTCATCAAGTTGATGATAAAATCCATGGGCGTTCCAGTGGACATTATGCGCTTGTTACACAACAACCCCTTAGAGGAAGAGCCAAACAGGGGGGACAGCGGGTAGGAGAAATGGAGGTTTGGGCTTTAGAAGGGTTTGGGGTTGCTCATATTTTACAAGAGATGCTTACTTATAAATCGGATCATATTAGAGCTCGCCAGGAAGTACTTGGTACTACGATCATTGGGGGAACAATACCTAATCCCGAAGATGCTCCAGAATCTTTTCGATTGCTCGTTCGAGAACTACGATCTTTAGCTCTGGAACTGAATCATTTCCTTGTATCTGAG